AAAAAAAAACCTTTTACAAGTAGTTCATGCTTATTCTGGAAGATTTGGTGACAACACTGATAAGATAAAAGTGCGACTTCAACAACATGGCTGTTTTTCAATGGTCACGGAATCAAAGACCAATAAGAGAAATGACGGCGTGACCACAGAGAGGAGGAAGGGACGTAAGTATAACATATGTTATAGATAGCTCACCTTAATAGCAGCCCAGTACTGACGATCAAGAAAAGCTGCGCAACCAGTCGACGGATTTTTGATTGATCTAAACTTAATCAAATAATAACGAGGAAAAGCTTAATGGAAAAAATGAAGATAAAAAAGTAGATACGCACTGTTTAGAATATATAGGTACAAACAGATCGTCATCTATAGCCGAACTGATTTTTGTTTTCACAGCTGTTGCTAAGGCCGCAAAAGCTTTGCTATCCTCAACGTTTAGTTTTGGATAGTCAGAAAGCCCACTAAGAACAGCTCCTAATCTTTTCGATTGCTTCAACGACATAGGTTCCCATTCTATTGTCACCATATCTAAAACAAGAGCTTTTACTAGGAAAAGGAGGGCGAACGAAGAACAAATGGAGATCTTTACTAACCTGTTAAGAAGGGTAGCACTACCTTCTCAATTATTGATGGAATAAGTCCAGTGATGATTTCATGTTTCGGGTCAACATCGTTATTGGCTTCAGCCGCTTGCATGCAGTCTATGTACCATGGCATAGAAGAAAGCAGGAAATCATCGCGCTAAGACACGATAATTTAACACCGGTAAATTAATTTGAAAAAAAAAACAAGTAGCCTTCAGAAACGAAGGGCTTACACGAAGGGCAAAACGCGATTATACAAAAATACTCATTTTCCAAAAAAAAGGCTGCACCATGAAAACCCAAAATGCTCACTTCACAAGAAAAAAGAGAAAGAACTTAAACCTCATGTTGATACAAGCCAAGGAATTCAAAAAAAAAACTTACGTTCAATATATCTGCCGTAATGAGCTGTATTCGCACATATGGTGATGCCAACTTTGGAATACACAGCTGTACATAGGCGTCTTGAAACGTTGTTCCATCAACCGCAAACCAATCAATCATCCTAAATCAAAATCACTAAACAAATGTGAACAATAAAAGAAAATTTGAACTCACCTATCTAGGACTTTTCTTAGACGAGCATAATCATCTAAAGCATCCACGAACACCATGTGAAGAGCTGTGTCGATCTCAGCTGAATACGTTCGCATAAACAATGTATTAACGTCGCATGCATAACATGTCCAATATTGGATACACACAAATGATTAGAGTTAGGCAAGATTCAGCCTGTCACTAACAAGCCTCTAATTTTTCAGCCACTAAATTAAAAACAAACTAGCTAAATGAAGGAAAAATAACAACGTTGCATACTTGCTGCTTCCTGATCAGCAAGCTGTTGGCTTGTTGGTTCGTCATCATCGCTGCTAAGGCCTTCCTCATGAGATATGCCAGTCAGAGTGCCTTCCCGTTCCCTACGTCTTCTAGCTCTAAAATAATTAGGCATTTTTGCAATCAAAATAAAAAATGGAAAAAATTAGTAAATTGCTAAAGGG